CCAGGCCCCAGCCTCTCTCAGTGGCTGTGGCAGCAACAGGCCTCTTCAGCTCCCTCGCTGTCCTGGCAGAGTGCCCTGACTCTCCATGGGAGAGAGCATGAGTCTCCTGGCCCCATTTGCTGGCTTAGGATCTGTCCAAAAGAAGCAAACAGACACGGCAGGGGGTAGGAATAACAATGTTTGTGTCAGCTCTTCACACACCCAGAACCCTGGCAGGACATGTAGTATGCCTCTGAATAAACACCATTGCTGTACAGGGGGAGAGCGCATGCACTAGCCTGGGAGTGTGTAGCTGTGCTTGCTGGAGCAGAGAGGCATGTTACTAGCTGTTGCTTTCATGGTGTGTGACTGCAGAGACCAGAGGTGAGTGCGGCCTCTGCTGGGAGTGGGGTCCTGGGACCTCCATGGGGTAGCTCCTCATTGGAGAGCGGGTACACACTGCCCTCTGGTGGTGATCGTTGAGTTGGCAGTAGGTTTGAGTCAGCTGAGTCTGTCCTGTCCCAAAAAGTTGAGGCAGGAATAAAGGGGCTGCTAGCGCTAAAAATGAAAGGCCAGACTGTTAAAGGCTTTTGGCCTGGAGAGGCAGCAGGTAAGAGACCTGTGTCCTCTTCACAGCTGTCAGTGCATTTGGACCTCCCCTTGGAAAGGAGGAAAAAAGGGACGGGAGAGGAGCTGGGACAAACCCAGAGTGCAAAACAGAGGGAGAAAGGCATGAAATTATCCTCCACTCTTGACAAGAGGAACAAGTGCCTCCTCAGTGCCCTGTATGCCAGGATCAGGTTAAGAGTTCCCATTTCACAAAGACCCCAGCTGAGGGAGAGAAGTGTCATGAGAAATTGGAGTCCATCCCTCTCCAGCCTGAGTGCTGTCCCCTAAACTATGGTGCCCAAGCAATGAGCCAGCAAGTGGCAGCTGTGTGAGTAGCCAGACTTTGGACCAGTGCAGCCTGTCTCTAAGGGAAGTTGCTCCCAGGCCTCTTCCATCCTGTGTTGCATATGGCTTTGTGCACTGCCAGATGTCTGCATGCTGCACTTCCACTTGCTTTCCTAACCCAAACTCTTAGTACCAGGCCTTTTGGGGTCCTGTCTCTGCCCCTTTTACTGGCAATCCAACAGCTTATTCAGCTACAACAGCTGCTTCCCCACAGGCTTCAGCTTGACTTGCTAACTTGAAGGAGTTAACACCCTACTACCTCACATTCAGTAGGATTTTACCTTGAGTTGCTTAACTCATGTTAAGCATGTACCTTTCTTTGTGGTAAAGACCCTGGCCTCAGAGGAAGGCTGTAGGATGTCCAGACCTGTGACTCTGCTTAGCAAGATCACAACTGAGTAGAGCAAGAATCTAGCCCTGGCTTGGCTCCTTCAGCATCCTCCTCGGGGAGGGCTAATGCTTGGGAAGTGTGTGGTGCATTCCTTTAAAGCTGAGGAAGCAGCCTGCAGTTTATTTGCTTGCCCAGCCCCAGGCACCAGGAGAAAAGAAAGATATGACTCCAATTTTTTTTTTTTGTAGCTGCTTTTTATGTCAGTGAGTTCTTCTATTCAAGGGGCTGCAGTAACATGGGAGGGAGGGAGGTAGATGGGTTGTGGTAACATTTCCACACTTTTCAGATAAAAAGGGACCTTTGCAGAACAATGCAATTTGGGGTTGCCTGAAAAGATTCATAAATTTAGCAAACAGTTTCAGCTGGAAACAGAGCAGTTCAAGCAGTTTATTTTGATATTTTATAAAAGAAACTCCTCAATTCTTCATTTCAAAGCAAAGTTTGAGACCAAAGTTACTCTATTTAAAGTTGATTTTCTTTAGAGTTAAAAGCAAACCACAACATGTTTTGTTTCCCAGGTAGATGTTGTATTTTTTTTCAAGTTGTCTTTTTCAACAAGGAAACCAACCCCCCCCCCCACACACACACTTCCATTCCCCAAAGAAAAATCTTTTTTGTCAAGCCAAAATTTTTTTTTCCTGTTTTGGGGTTTGACTCCTGAGCCCCATTCCCAACTGCCTGACCTCTCACCCACTCAGTAAAGGCTGCTCACAGTCTGGCTCTTGGGTCAGCTTGTCAAGAACTTGCTTGGCAAGCTGACCCTCACAGTCCCAAAGTGCTTGGAAAGTGCTAGATTTGGCACTTCCTGACTTGTATTCCTTAAAAAGAAATTGGAACAGGGTCAGAAAAGAGCTACATTTTGATCCGAGGGATGGAAAACCTGCTTCACAGCAGAGCTCAGTCTACTTATCCAGTAGAAGGGATAGAAGATAGATGAGTTTTACCTTCCTTCTCGTGTCTGGTTGCCATCACCACTCTGCCAACCAAGAGAGATTGAGGAAACTGTCTCTCTAAATACTGGCGTTCCCAGGCTTTGGACACAGTCCTGAGGAAGATCAGACAATGGGTCAAATCACAGCTCATGTAGCAGGTGGATTTATTTTTAATTTGGCTGCTGAATCAGGAAATCAATTATTTGCACAACCCTAATCAGGAGGAAATCTAATGTGGAGCATGTTTGCTACTGTGGGGTTTTTGCACTTCCTTCTGCAGCAGCTGCTGCCAGAGACAAGGCTCTGAGTTGACTAGATATCAGGCTGGATTCAGGTGCCTGTCCCTAGGTGCCTCAGACTTTTAAATGCTCCAGCTTTAACCGGTTTTCTTTAGACTTATCTTAATTCCAAGACCTCAGGGATACTGCAAAATAAACATTGTCCAAACTTTCTAGCATTGTTTGGTTTTTCAGTAGTCACCTCTCAAAAGGAAATGGAGCATGGTTATTACTGCTAATTGTATCTGTAGTAAGGCTGGGTACTTTCCAGACAAAAATGAACAGAGTTTTCTCCTATAGGGCTCCCATTCATGGGTGAACAGACAGATAGGCAGCACAAGGGGGAAGAGGTAGACCATATTAGCAGAGTGACTGAAGATATGATTGTTCATATCCTGATTGTATAAGGTGAGTGCACTCTGAAACAGGTGGAGGATGTATTGTGTACAGAGAAAAAGACTGTTTGTAGAGGCTGTTATTCAGATTGCAAAGCCATAGACTCAGAGGTTAGCTAGTGTCAAGCATACTGAAGAAGTTGAGGAGGATGAAGTGGAGGCCTAGCCAGCATACAGATTTAGAAACCTATATAAGAGGAGCTATGTGCGTTTGGGGAAGGAGGATGAAGTGGGCTGGATGGCTACGATGGTCTCATCTGGCATTAGATTCTGTGAATTTGTTGATCTCTGTTCATCTCCTTCCTTCATGGGACATAAAGAGAACAAGAAGTTCTGTTTTGCATTCAGAACACTTGCAGCTTTGTGTGAAAGCAACAAATATAATCAAATCTCTCCAGTGAATCAGATTCATTATTCCTAGTCTTTGCTTTCTTTTAAAGCAATGTCCAGACATTGTACAGGAAGGGCCGATGACAAGTGTTCTTAGGTGGTACTTTGTTAGTTGCCTGCCTGGTGTTCTTCGCTCCTGTGCTCAGTATGGAATTGAATACCAGTTGTAGAACTGGAAAAGAAGATTCATCCAGGTCAGATTGGATGCTGATAGGGGGACTGCTTTTCTCTGCAGAGCAGGGTATGTTTTCTTCACCGGGAACATGGAGACATCTTACCTAAATCACTCCCTTCACATTACCTTTCCCTGGGCATTGATCTCTTCTGTTCTCTGCCTGGGGCACACAGCACTTTAATCTCCTGCAAGCTGACATAGTTTGACCCAGTTCAAGCTCCTGAACTCATCGCAGGAGTATCCAGATTAAATTAATGATCTGTGCAACAAAGGAGACTAGAGTAGATGGTGCAATGGTCATATACACTGTGACTTTACAGAGGATGCAGCAGGAGAGGAGGGACCAGAAATGGTGCTAAAGGCAGGCTGGGGGCCTAGAAGAAGAGTACATATGGGGTGAAGTTCTGCTTTCTTTGGAAAAGGCTTGGCCAGCTGCTCTCTCCCAGTCCAAACTGAGAGATCTTCTGTCTGAAGCCAAACGCAACCCAAGGGAGTAGATCTGAGCTTGTTGAAAATCAGGGGTCATAAACATCTTGCCAGTGCAGCCTGCCCTTTGTTACCCGGCCCCTGCTGTGGGCCACAAATTTGTGTCCCCTACAGTAGCCAGGTGCCTACATTTACCCTTGCTGCTGATCCTCATCCTCTTTGCAGCAAAGGCAAGTGAAGAGAGCAGGCTGTAGAGGTAAAGTGAGGAGAGGGAGAAGAGGGGAAGGTTGGCACAGTACAATTCCATCCCACCTTTCCCCCCATACTGGATTGGACCTTCAAGAGCTGCATCAGACCTCTCTGCAGGTCAGATCTGGCCCGTGGGCTGTAGGCTGCAGTTGCTGACCTTGTTCTAAGAAACTAAATAGTGGGCTTGGGGTGGGGGTTGACATCCACTGCCCTTGACTCTTTCTTGATAACTCATAGCCTCAGTCCTCTGAAGTTCTTCTGCTTTACTCTGAACTCCCTCCAATCTGACTGCATGTCTCTAGTCAGAAAGAGCCAAGGACTGGGAAACTGACTTATCTTCACATTGCATTTGCTTTGTCCAAGGAGAGAGCTACATACAAAGCACTTGTATTCCTCTAGTTCTCAAGTAAAAGGGCATGGGTAAGGAAAAATGATCACGGGAGGAAGAACAGGATTTGTCACCATTTATGCAGCAAACCTCCCAGCAGTGCAACCCGCCATATGTACATACACCACAGTCAGAAACTGACAGTGAATTTAGGGACTTTAGCATCAAAGCACCATCCCAGGAAGCCAGCACTCCTCCGGAGCATAAAGTGGTGATTTTGTCCAGGGAGGATGGGGGTGTGAAAAGTGGCATGAAACTTCTCCAGGGCCTGTCTTTGTCTTTAGCATCACTGTCTGTGCATCCTCCACAGGGCTGAGGGCTGCTGTAGGTTATCCTTCTCCCAAGTGCCAGTCCATTCACAGTGCTGAGGGACAGGAGCCAATATGCCTAAAGAGTCGGCCTAATCTTTCCAGTTTAGAGGAAATAGGCTGTTTGTAGTTGCTGGAACTAGCCACCAGAGGGCACCATAATCACATAGAGTAGGTCAGTGTATTGCAGGCTTGCCCCAAGCTGAAACCCAAGCGTGCAGCCCCCCCCCCCGTGGGATACCACTTTGCATTGAGCAGCAGCTGCGTTCCTGCAGACCACCACACTCACGAGCAGCAACTGAACCTGGCCCATGAGCACAGACATGCAGTTTTCTGCTGCTTGTGCTCAAGCAGAGTAAGGGGGCAGAGTAAGGGAGCTGCAGGGGCCTCTAATCATCCCAGGCCAAGAGGACACGAACACCCCATAGCCAGCATGGTCCTGCTGAGCCCCTGGCTTGAGTGCCTCCTGTTGGTGTGCTGGGCACCAGACTCAGAGCCCTGACAGAAGCAGTCAACACCACCCCATATTTTCTGGGCAAACCCTCCTTGGCTCCATTCCTTTTCCAGAAACCTGAGACCCAAGCAAATGAGAGGGTGGCCCAGAGACTCGGCTGCATGTGGAGGTGTGACCCACCTTGATGCTTCCTCAATCCTGAAGTGGCAAATGGTCCCCCCCCAGACCCACGCACTCCCTGCCTGGCCAACTCCCTGACAGACCTGAGGTGCACTCAAGGTGCCCTGATGTCTGGTTCCCTGGGACTCTAACTACCTTGATCCACCTCAATGGCACAAGAGGCCGTGTTCTCATTCCATGGTGTGAATAGGGGCAGCATATACTGCAGCCCAAACTCTGAAGCCCAGACCAGGCTGGCTTCAACTGGACGGGAGGAGAGGACACTTCTGAATTCGTGGGCTAGCTTGGCTTGTGCTGAGGATGGCTTTGTTTCTTCTTTCCTTCCTGCTCTAGGAGATGCAAGATCTGGCAGTGCTGCGGGGCAGCCAGTCTGACCAAGTAGAGTCACTGCTCACCTCTCTATCAGAGCATGAGGAACTGGACTGTGTGCTCCGGCTCTGTGGTCTACAGAAAGTTCAGGTAAAAAAGAGTTGCCTTGTGTGGCGATCTCGCTATGTGCTTCACCTTCCTCCTGGAATAGCTGGTGTCTCCCAAGCCATCCTACCTTCCCTCCAAAATGCCTTTGGAGATCTTACACATTCCTGAGTTTGCGTGTCCTGGGACTGACCAAAAAAAGCATTCAGAGGAGGTCACAAAGCGGGGAGCCTCTCCCTGGGCTAGGGACACTTCTAGGGGATCTCTGAAGTTTGACTGCAGTTTAGTGACCAAGCCAAGCCTGGTTCCTCCTCTCCCTGGTGACACCTTCCTTTCATGCCCTGAGGCCAGAGAGCATCGGGCGAATGGCTGGAAGTTGCAGCAAAGTAAGTTTAGATTGGATATCTGGAAAAACTTCTTCACTGTTAGAATAGTGAGGCAGTGGAACAGACTGCCTAGGGAAGCTGTGGACTCTCCATCACTGGATGTGTTCAAGTAGAGGTTGGACAGCCACTGGTCATGAATGATTTGGGCATAGCTAGGCATGTGTTCTACCATGGGTATTTTTCATTCTTCTTGGCTTTGCTGGTTTCCCCCTGCTGCCCTTTTCTGCTATGTCAGGGTGTTTTTAAGCTTTCCCAGAGGCATTGGGTGCTGGCTACAGCCAAGGCTGGGGACTTTAACTGGGGTGTGCCAGTGCTCCTGCTGGGACCAAAGCCAAAGGTTCCTGGTTAGAGGGTCTTGCTTCTCCACTCAAAGTCAGACTGATTGCCATATCTGGGGTAGGAAGGAATTTTACCCAATGGTCAAACTGATATGGACTGTGGGGACTTTTGCCTTCTTCTGTAGTGAGGGCATGGCCCTCTACCTGGGACTTACAGAAGCAAAGCATTGGTTGCTGTGGTTTCTCTGATTTACCTGCGGTAGGTTAGGGTGTTAGGTCTGTGTTGGGTTAGAGTTCGCAGCAGTCCTATGGGAGTTGAGATTATGGTTTGTATGGGATGGTTTGGATAGGGATGATCCTGCCTCAGGCAGGGGGATGGACTAGATGACTTCTGGAGGTCCCTTTCAGCCCGACTTCTCTATGAGTCTATAACTCCATGACATTATCTCCCAGGCCTTTCTGCTTCAAGCAAGTGTCTGTGCTATAGCTCAGATCAAACCCTTTCCTCCCAATGTCTTACCAGGATGTTTCAAAGCATAAAGGGATGCCTAACTAGAACACAGACAAACCTGCTTATCCAGTGAGGTGGACTGGTTGATTCTGAAGTCAGGCAGTGGTTGTAGTAGTCTGCTTTAGTTTTTCTGTCTCTGTTTCACGTTGTATCCTTTGTTCACCACCCCCTCTCCCCCTTCCCCCACCTCCCCTGCCCCAGACTGATGTGTTACTGCAGCTGGATTTGCACTATACTCAGCTGGGCACCAAGCAGAGGGCTCGTGAGAGTCTGCGGAAAATCCTCAGGAAGTCACTGGTAGCACAACTGTTCAGCCAGAAAAAGTGTGTTATTCCACCCCACCAGGAGGCATCAAAACCTACTTCCAGCTCATATCCCAAGGATGGATCAATGGTACCTGCAGCGCAGAAGGGGCTAGCATCGCTGGAAGTGGAGTCCGGGAGCAGCTCGCAGTGCAGCAGCCAGTCGAACACGTGCAGTGAGCCCGAGGAAAACGATGAGAGTGACCTGAGCAGTCTCTGCTCAGCACTGCTCAGGGCCAGCCCAGGACAGAATTGCTCCTGAATGGGAAGTGAATTGCTGTCCCTAGGGAGAGGTGGGGATTCTCTCACTACAGGAGGACTGCTTTTCGGGTTACAAGCAATACTGCTGCCATAGCCTAAGCCATACTCCAGAGTCTAACATGCACTATGTCCAGACAGTCAAGACAGCTATTGGAGAGGTAAAAAGAGTTGCCCCCTGTGGCCATCTCACTGCTGCATCTCCTCCCCTCTCTCCCCAGAATAGCTGGATTCCAGTATCTGTCCCACTAAGCATGGAGGGTCAGAGTCCTAGTGAGCAACCTCTGCCACACGCAAAGCTCTATGCAAGAATCCTTGGCAAAGGAGTGACCATCATGCTGAGTAAATAATGTGACAATCATAGGATTTCCACCCCCTCCAAAAAGTCATCCATTTACAGACAAAGTTGCCACCTAGGCACTCTGAAAGACAGACTGCAATAAGCAAAGGCCTGGGAACAAGCATTAAAATTGAAGCCATGGAAAGGTACGAGCTAAAGGAACGTTGCAGGCAGGGGGTGCAATTTTAATGCAATAAAATAAAACCTTTAATGCTGACCACAGCATTGTGTAAATATTGTAACAAATTAAGAAATAACAGTTTTAAAATGGCATTGGAGTGTGATTCTTCTTGTACCTGGTGTTGAGCTGCTGCTATGCTTTTCTATCTCACAGGTAGAGCATGCGTAAAAAAAAATGTACAGTGATGTGCGGTTGTGTTTCTAGAGGGTATATTTTACCTCTGTATTTGGGATTGGGATTTTTTTTGAAAATACATTGCTATGTTATTCAGAGGAGGTATATAGTTAGAGTGTATTCTAACATGTTTATTAATGCAGATCAGAGTTAAGGGTTTTATTATATTTAAAGTCACAGTGCTCGAGGTATGAAATGCATTTGCTGTTCTTGTATGGCTTGATGTATTGTTTCTTAGCAATACATCAAGTGTTTTTCAGGAAAAAGTATATAAAGGTCTGAATTGCCTCTCTAGAACCTAGGTGAGGTGGCTGCAGCCTTAAACATAAAGAGTCTATTTTCCTAGTATGAGAATTCCTTCTATCCTTCTTTTTTTTTTTTTTTCAAATGGAGTCCCAGGACTATAAGCTGTGGGGCTGTTGCCAGTTCAGCCCTAAGCCCTGTGAAGTTTCACTCAAGTCCTGTGGCCAGGGTTGAAGTGATCCGTGGGTCCTGCGCTACCTCTTTGCAAAAGGATGAGACATGTACCCTCCACAAGTGTGGACTGTTGTGGATTCATTGAAGTCCATGTGCTGAGATATCACCTCAAGACTGCTTTTCTGCTAGAGCATTTGAAGTAGAGCACAGTGTACCTTTTGCAGCATAGGTGCCTGATAGCTGGTGACCATGGTGGTAGCAGTCACCAAGCTGCAGCCACCACCAAATGTGAGGACTTCCCAAAGGAAACAGCACCCTCCAACAGCAGGTGACAGTAACATTGCACAGGATTGGTGACTTTCTGGAAAGCAGCCCAGAAGAGCCTACATGATTGTACCTACATCCATCTTGGTTCTGAAGGCTGATGAGATGTGTCTGGCCATAGCAAGTACCACATGTTCTCACATACAGCAAGTCCTGAAATATAATACACAACTTGTTTTTAATAGGCTGAAGGATTTAAAAAAGATCTTTCTTTCTTGTAAGTAACTGGGCGTGTCTACACCTACAAGCAGTAAAGCACATTAAGACTGCGTGTGGACTGACTTGGGACATGGGACTAACTTTAGTGCTCCTAGCTTTAGTCCCAAGTTGGTCCAAACACACAATGTTACTGCGCAATAAGGCATCTACATATGTGTTATTGCACAGTAACTAATCGGGTGTAAATTTGATACCTACATGATGCAGGTATTAAATTTATAAAAAGGTGGCATAAGTCATCGTATTTACTGTGCAGTATGAGCATGCATGTGTAGACGCATGCCCATAATGTACAGTAATTTGGTTACTGCACAGTAAATGCTCACATGTAGAAGTGCCCACTGAGTAGCAACAGCTAGGGAACAGAGTCTCCTTCTTGTTCTGCTCCCTATGAGTCACTGCCAATTTTCCTTTCCCTTTTCCCCATAAGGGCAGAAACTGGTTTTAACAGTGTAAGGCAAGGATTTCTTAGGGTGCCATCTTTTATTGGATCAACAGTATGGTTGGGATAGAGTTAAATGAGCTTTCAAATGAAACACACAAGCCTAATGAAGAATGTCTTGCATTCAAACCTTGTCTAACTCCATCCCAACTATACAGTTGGTCCAATAAAAGATGGCACCCTAAGAAATCCTTGCCTCTTGTGTAATTTCTGGACCATCATGGCTGCAACATCACTTACATGACCATCACATAATGAACACTGCAGTTTCCAGCACCTGGGGGGGGATTGCATGAAATATGAGAGAAAATGTGGCATGTCAGTGCAGACATGTGAACCTCTTCTGCTGTATGCACGAGGTCTTCTCAGGAGGATCCCAGGGAGGTTACAAATTATTGTAAGCTATATGATAGACATGGTAATTGGGGCTCAAGATTGCATTGCTAGCCACTTGGTTTTGCTAGTCAAACATCAAACTAACCAAAATTTTAATACACTCATTAAGCCCTTGTCACAAATGTGAACACTTAACAGCTCCAGGAATCTAGAGCTAGAATTTGGAGCTGGACTGTTCCCAGTGGTGGCAGATGACAGGACAAGGAGCAATGGTCTCAAGTTGCAGCAAGGGAAGTTTAGGTTAGATATTAGGAAAAAAAATCTTGCCAGGAGGGTGGTAAAGCACTGGAACAGGTTACCCAGAAATGTTGTAGAATCTCCATCCTTAGATGTTTTTAAGACCCAGGTAGACAAAGCCTTGGCTGGGATGATGTAGTTGGGGATGGTCCTGCTTTGAGCAGGGGGTTGGACTAGCTGACCTTCTGAAGTCCCTTCAACCCTCATTTTTTATGATTCTATGAATCATCTGCTTGGATATTTCACTTGACCCCTACCCCTGCTGCCCTGTCTGCTAGCACCAAACTGCTCCAAGGTAGAGCCTCAGTCAACAGAATGCCCTCCTGGTCTTTCTGGAGTAAAGTGAGAGACAAGTTGAGAATGTTAGCGCTCAGTCCAGGATCTGGTTAGCCACTGCTGGCCCTGGTGGATTTACTGGCACTGAGTTCCCTGGGCATTGTTTTTAGCTTGCCTGTTGGGGGACAGTAGTATTGCCAGGGTTGATGTCTCAATGCAGCTGACCAGAAGCATCGTTAGATAGAGGCATAAAAAGAAAAAGAGAATCCTGGTACAGTAGGAAGAAAGGAAGCAGCGACACAAGGAAGGGAGGAACAGCTGGAGATCTAGGTTTCCATTACAGGAGCTTGGGATACAGCTGTGGAGACACTGCTGTCATCTGGTGGAAAGGTTGATATAGTCTTCTCACCTGGTCCCTCTGGGCCTTTTTCCTTATGGTGAGGCTGCTTTGGTCTGTTGCTGTCCAGTTCTGGAGGACTGGAGCCACACCAGGAGCTAGGAAAACGTTGAATCGAACAGCAATGAATTTAGCTCATATCAGCGTTTTCTCTGCTTTCTGTACAACACAATTCACATGGCTTTCCTGTTACCTGTCACACACCTTGGACAATATAAGGCTTCAACCCTGTGTGCAGCGCAACAAATATCATGCAGCCCTGGGAGTAACCTAAACCTTGATGATACCAGCCCCTTTGCTTCTATGAGGTACAGTGAAGACCAAGAGTTAGGCAGAATAGCTGGCTTGGGATAGACTACAATGCCTTCCTCAGGGCCAGTTTCAGTTACTGGGTCATCTTCATTGATCAGTTGCTGGAGAGTGCACAAGTAGATGGGACTTATTTTGTTGGCAGTAGACACAGTGCTAGGAGGAAGCCCAGTAGGCACATCCCAAACATCTGCCAGTGACTCTGTGCCTGGATTGTGTTAAGTGTGGTCTAACTAAGACTTCAGATTTTTATTCTATTACCTGGATTAGCTTTTATAACCCCTATGTCCCTCAGTGGATTAATTGCTTTGCTTTTTTCTCTTCTGCCCACCTTGCCTCTCCCAGCACTGCCCCTTCCTTTTTTCGTCCCCACTTCTTTATCTTTTGTACAGAGCTGGCCTTAGGGAAAACGGTGTCTTGGGCGAACTTGTATTTTGGTGTCCCCCTCTTGCCCCTTGCCCCAAGTCAGCCACACTGCTGCAGGCAGAGGCAGATAGGCAGGGGTGCAGGATGCAGTCCAGTGGGAAGGCAGCATGGCATGGAGTAAGTGTCACCCCGCCCACATGTGCCCGGTCTGGCTCCTCCTGAGCAGTACCTGGAGGGGGCTGGGCACTGCTCCTCCTGCCTGGGGCTAGGATTGGCTAGGGTGGGAAGAGAGTGCTTCTGTAAGTGTGGGCTGATCACATGTGTGTGCACGTGTGTTTGATGCCCACTCCACCCCGCCCCCCAAACCATGGCGTCCTGGGTGGTCATCCACATTGCCCACCCCTAAGGCCAGCTCTGCCCTTTTATTCTAAGCATTGCTGTCTATTTAGCAGCTCTGCTTCCTGCAGTCCTTTCTTAGCATCTGAAGGACAAAAGCTTATTCTTCCCTGATTTTAGCTAGTCTATAAGGTGCAATTCTACCCTGCCTTCTGCCAGACTTCAGACTAATACACCTAACTACAGTACCTCTCTCTGCCCTCACCACCAGGACTCAGCAGAAAGCAGTGAACTTTGTTTTTGGAATGCTTGTGTTGCATAGAAAGTGTCGAACCAGCTTGACCAGTTCTATCTACAGGGTTTTTTCTCTCTCCAAATTCTGTGGAACAAATTCTGTAGCTTTCCCTTGGAGTAAATCTGAAGGGACACCATAGAAGTTAAGAGCTACTCTCATTTTCAGTGGTGTAACAAGGAGCACTTCTTAGCCCTGTGATTCTATGCCAAAAGAATGATGTTCCCTGGGGCCTGGAGAAGTAGAATTAATGCTCAAAGCTTGAGTTCAGCATCTTTAGTTACAGCATGAGTCATTTGCAGAATCAGAGATGGCAGATCCTATAGGCTCCAGTGGGCGCATCTACAATAAGGCGCATTTTCTAATGCGCATTAAATTTAGTACCTCCAATATGAGATACTAAAGAAATGCACATTGGGCTGCCTGAATGCATAGTAATGAATGTGCATGATTTTTAAGTGACACTTAAGGTGGAGTAGCCTATTTTACTCCACAGTAGCGTAATTGCATGGTTTTTTACATGTTGCTTTAATACACAGTTAAATAGTAGGGCTGCGCGGGGCTTTGGACAGAGCTTCGGATCTGGAGAAGCCTTGGACACTTTGGGGTCTGAAGCAGCACATCCGGGTCGAAGCGCTGGCCTTGTTCAGCTTCCCAAAGCAGTTCAGAGCTTCGAAGCCGCCTCGGAGATCTGGCCATAGGGTGTAAGGGGGAAACAATAAAATAGCTATAACTTTGTTGTTTTTTGTCTGATTTGGATAAAAATTTCAGGAATGGTAGTCTCTGCAGAGAGCATGAAGCCTGCCAAGTTTCAAAAAGATCGGTGCATGGGGTTTTAGGGGAACTGCACCCCAAATTCTTGAAAGCAAAGCTCCTGTCACATCTATGTGTTACACCACAGGTAGGTCAAAACTGCAGGTGTGGTAGCTCTTACTGAATCCACAAAGCCTGCCAAGTTTCAAGAAGATGGGTGGAGGGATTTGGGGGGAACTGCCCCTCAAGCTGCGGACAAGCAAAACTCATGATATGGGTGACACTGCGTGTGTTAAGGTGCTGCGGGGTGACAGCTGCAGGGCTGGTGGCCCCTTCTGCAGCAGTTACCAATCAATCAATCATGATTCACTCAGGGACCAGGGACTCGGGGACCAGCTCAATACACAGGACCTAGCTAATGTAGCCAGTTAATTACCATCAATTAACACCTACAAAACCAGACTAAGGAGAGGAAAGAATCAATACAGACAATCAACTGCCCCAAGACAGACACAGTCAGTCCCACAAGCACCCCGGCACCAGTTTCGTCTGTCAGCAGCTCGGGGTGCAGGGCCCCAGAACCCCCCTGCACCGATCTCCTCCACAGCTGGCAGGTGTCACAGCAGGGCCACCACCCCTGCAGCTGTCACCCCGCTGTGCCTTAGCACACGCAGTGTCACCCATGGCACGAGTTTTGCTTGTCCACAGCTTGAGGGGCAGTTCCCCCAAAACCCCTGCACCCGTCTTCTTGAAACTTGGCAGGCTTTGTGGCCTCAGTAGGAGCTACCAGCCCTGCCGTTTTCACCCCCCTGTGTTGTAACACACAGCCGTGACATGAATTTGGCTTTCAGAAATCTGGGCTTCAGTTTCCCCCAAACCCCTGCACCGATCTTCTTGAAACTTGTTAGTCTTTATGCTCTCAGCAGAGGCTAACATCCTTGCAAATTTCATCCAAATCAGACAAAAAACAACAAAGTTATAGATATTTAATTGATTTCCCCATTATACCCTGTGGCCGGATCTCCAAGGCAGCTCTGAAGCTTCGGTGCTGCTTCTGCTGGATCGAGGCGGAAACCCGGTCTGGAGCTCCAGA